TCTCTCTTCTCTCTCTCTCTCTCTCTCTCTCTCTTCTCTCTCTCTCTCTCTCCTCTCTCTCTCTCTCTCTCTCTCTCTCTCTCTCTCTCTCTCTCTCTCTCTCTCTCTCTCTCTCTCTCTCTCTCTATCTATCTATCTATCTATCTATCTATCTATATATATATCTATCTTTCTACGTGTGTAGAACGCAAGCAGTCCCAACTGAAAATGCACTAGTATAATTGCTAGGGATATGATAACGATATGCGGCCTTGTAGATAGAAAAACGTATTTGAGAATTTTCTCCATGAATATGGCATATTTCGCTGAATTCATTATGCAATACTAGCACGATAATAACCTTGACTCCCAGATATCTTCCCGTATCTAGGTTTAGTTTTTAAATGACTGACTTCCAATGACTATTTATTACGACCAACAATCAACGATAGAGACATTTTCCAGTAGGAAGAAGAAACGGTTTCGTGGTCACCGTAAGACATCCACGATTTCCGATCTTGAGTCGACAGGACAATCTCCTGAGACATTTTCCAGTAGGAAGAAGAAACGGTTTCGTGGTCACCGTAGACATCGATTTCCGATCTTGAGTCGACAGGACAATCTCCTGAGACATTTTCCAGTAGGAAGAAGAAACGGTTTCGTGGTCACCGTAAGACATCCACGATTCTTTCCGATCTCGAGTCGACAGGACAATCTCCTGAAACATTTTCCAGTAGGAAGAAGAAACGGTTTCGTGGTCACCATAAGACATCCACGATTCTTTCCGATCTCGAGTCGACAGGACAATCTCCTGAGACATTTTCCAGTAGGAAGAAAAACGGTTTCGTGGTCACCATAAGACATCCACGATTCTTTCCGATCTCGAGTCGACAGGACAATCTCCTGAGACATTTTCCAGTAGGAAGAAGAAACGGTTTCGTGGTCACCGTAAGACATCCACGATTCTTTCCGATCTCGAGTCGACAGGACAATCTCCTGAGACATTTTCCAGTAGGAAGAAGAAACGGTTTCGTGGTCACCGTAAGACATCCACGATTCTTTCCGATCTCGAGTCGACAGGACAATCTCCTGAGACATTTTCCAACTTCGGAAGAAGAAACGGTTTCGTGGTCACCGTAAGACATCCACGATTCTTTCCGATCTCGAGTCGACAGGACAATCTCCTGCGACATTTTCCAGTAGGAAGAAGAAACGGTTTCGTGGTCACCGTAAGACATCCACGATTTCTTCCGACCTTGAGTTGACAGGACAATCTCTTCTCTTTCTCTTCTCTCTCTTTCTCTTCTCTCTCTTTCTCTTCTCTCTCTTTCTCTCCTTTCTCATTTCTCTCTCTTTCTCATTTCTCTCTCTTTCTCATTTCTCTCTCTTTTTCATTTCTCTCTCTCTTCTCTCTTTTCTCTCTCTCTTTCTCTCCCTCTCTTCTTTCTCTCTCTCTCTCTCTCTCTCTCTCTTTTTCTCTCTTCTCTCTTCTCTCTTTTCTCTCTCTTCTTTCTCTCTTTCCCTATTCTTTCTCTCTCTGTCTCTCTCTCTCTCTCCTCTCTCTCTCTCTCTCTCTATCTCTCTCTCTCTCTCTCTCTTTCTCTCTTCTCTCTTCTCTCTTTCTCTCTCTCTCTCTCTCTTTCTACGTGTGCGCGTGCATTCCACAATTCGCTCTATTTCCAAGCAGAGGTAACCCTTCGCTACCTGGGGTCCTGGCCTAGCCCTGTCTGGAATTCTGGCGTCTGACCCACAATGGAGTGCAGCAGTAGAGTCCCTGGCTCCCTCTTCTTCTTCTTCTTCTCCTTCTCCTTCTCCTTCTCCCTGTGACACGCAGTCCCAACTGAATTCTGAAAATAAAGCTTGTTGCAATGTTGCACTAGTATAATTGCTTTATTACGACCAACAATCAACGATAGAGACATTTTCCAGTAGGAAGAGGAAGAAACGGTTTCGTGGTCACCGTAAGACATCCACGAATCTCGAGTCGACAGACAATCTCCTGAGACATTTTCCAGTAGGAAGAAGAAACGGTTTCGTGGTCACCGTAAGACATCCACGATTCTTTCCGATCTCGAGTCGACAGGACAATCTCCTGAGACATTTTCCAGTAGGAAGAAGAAACGGTTTCGTGGTCACCGTAAGACATCCACGATTCTTTCCGATCTCGAGTCGACAGGACAATCTCCTGAGACATTTTCCAGTAGGAAGAAGAAACGGTTTCGTGGTCACCGTAAGACATCCACGATTCTTTCCGATCTCGAGTCGACAGACAATCTCCTGAGACATTTTCCAGTAGAAGAAAAACGGTTTCGTGGTCACCGTAAGACATCCACGATTTTCCGATCTCGAGTCGACAGGACAATCTCCTGAGACATTTTCCAGTAGAAGAAGAAACGGTTTCGTGTCACCGTAAGACATCCACGATTCTTCCGATCTCGAGTCGACAGACAATCTCCTGAGACATTTCCAGTAGGAAGAAACGGTTTCGTGGTCACCGTAAGACATCCACGATTCTTTCCGA